CACCTTGCCACCATCACTTGTGATGCCATTGTATTCAGTTGTTAGATATGTACTGGTGGAACAAGATATGTGGATGTTGATTTTGTTGAGCATGCTTTATGTGGAGTAGAAGATGTTTAATCTAGCAAGAGGCTTTCGGTAAAAGCATTTGGTGTTGATTCTGCCTTGGGGTGTGTTACATCTCATTTTAGTAAATTATAAAATCATTATATTTTTTGGGAATTTGAGATAATTCTACAAGAATAGTACTTGGATTCATTGAAAGATGTGGAGTATTGTATTTTGTTAGACAAGTTAATTTTTTTTTATTATTGTTGAAGAAATATGTTTATTCCTTGAATGTAATTCGTGTTAAGGTGGAGATTGTTGGAATTTTGGTATGACCCGAATTCCTTTATTGAAGTGTTTGATGGATATTATTAAGGAAAAAATGTATTTTAAATAGTGATATGATGGGAAATATGTGATTAAAAAATAAGGAAAAATTATTGATGTGATGGAAAATGTATTTTGATACTCTATCTCTTATGATAATTGTTGGAATGTGGATGTGACCCGATTTTCTTTATTGAAGTGTTTGAAGTATTGAAAAATTCTAGTTGAAGTGCACGTCATGAAAAATTCAAATTTAGAATGCTATTAAAGTTCTATATCAAGTTGAAGTTATATTTTGGATGCATATTGGGAGTTGAAAATTTGTATTGACCTCGAATAAGAGTTCGGAATGGAGAAAAACATCATTGGAGGCATTTTAAAAAATGTTGGGCTGTAAGCGAGCGCCTTACTGTTTTCCAATAACAAGGTCGGCGCCCGGGGTGTAGTGCCACTGCCTGTGTTTCGTTTTTCTGATTTTTTATCTCATATTTCGTTTTGAACTCAGTTTTTTGGAATTCCACTTCATCAACAACTCTACCAATAGGGTTTAAACGTCTTCTACACGTTCCCTATAAATATTAGGTTTTTCTATACAATTTGTAATGTGAGAAAATAGATTACTAGAATTATGAGATTCATTATAATTTTCTCACAAGTGGTATTAAACAATACATAATTCTTGTATTTTCAACATTGCTTTTAGTGATCCGAGCATATTAATGTTTCTTCTAACAAGAGATATTTTTTTTGTTTCATAATAAGTGGTATTAAAGCGATTTTGGTATCTTGTTTGTTTCACAACAGAAACGATGAAAAATAAATAAATATTTATTTATTGAAAAAGCAAAATAAAGAGTTAAAATAAAGAATATTGTTGAAATAAATTTTAGATTGGAAATTTAAAGATCTTCTCTATTTTATATAAATAGAGAATCTTCAAAAGATATTCAAAATTTCGTAAGACCAATTCATGCATCAACTTGCTAAATCAAAACCATGAAGCAACAAACCATCTTTTCCAATGTTGATCCCAACAAAACTTCACACACCGAAGTCTTAAATGTCGTGTCCTAACTTAAAATTATTAACAGTTTAATTTATATTATCTCCGTCCCAATTATATAAGTAGGGTTTTCTTTTTCTCTTATCCCAAATATATAGGCTTGTTCCTAATACAAAATATTTTTATTGTGTTCTTTTATTAATATACTCTTATTAAATTTTCCCCACTCAATATGTAAACTTCTTGAAAATTCAAATTTTTTATTAATTCCAACAATAATTTAATTTTACACACTGAAAATTAAATAAGGGTAAATTAGGAAAGATCTTGACAAATTAAAATTTAGTTTTATTGAAATATGTTATTAAAATTAAATAATTTGTCAAATGAAGGCTTATTTTTCAATCAGTGACTTTCAAGATGACGTAGTATTCTTAGATTGATTTGATCTTCATCGTTGTCCCCAAACAAAATAAGGATATTCAAGAATAATAATTTTATTCAGCACCATTGGGATTACAACACTAGTTTAGATAACATTGAGTGTCATTAAATGAAATGTACAATTAAATGAATCATATAATTTACCTTTAATTGAATCAATCACATAATATTACATAAGCTGGCGCTCTAACACCAATTATGCTAAATAACATTAATTTATTCTGAAACCTACCCTGAATTTCCACAATTCTGCGATTCTTTCACTATATTTCTTAATATTGCATGATGGTCCTTGAATTTTTTGCATACTGAAAAGTGTTCCCTATATTTAGGGGTGGGCGTGGGTTGGATTGAGTCGATTTTCTTCAAATCCAACCCAATTATTAGTTTAAACCTGACCCAACACAAATTGGTCAAGTTTTGATCGGTTTGGGCTTCAACCCAATAAACGTTGAATTTGATTAGTTTTTGTACAATGTAGATAAATTTTCAAAGTTTGAAATTACTTGNTATAAGTCATTCTCCCATCTTCACCATTGTGTCTATTTAATTTTTTTTATTTATCGGATTGTGTTTGATTGGATTTTAATTCATAACCCTATACCAAACCAAATCCAATCCAATTGAACTTAAAATCCAACCCAAACCGATAGGTTAGGGTTGGGTTGAGCGGTTTGGGTTAGGTTTTGCCCGGCCCTACTTGTATTTCTCGAAGTTTGGCCCCTAGATTTTTGGCATCCTGCAAAGTGGTCCCTAAATTTTCTGAAATGTTTAGTGAGACCTTAATTTTTTGGGTGTGCGAAGCTGCCCCTAAACCTTCTGGAATCTACAAATTGACCCATGTATTTACTGTTTATTTCAGATTGGCTCTGTAATTTCCAATAGTTGTATTTCAATCCCTGACGTGTGTGGCTTTTTGAAATGGTCCCTGAAATTTCCTTTTGCTGCAAATATTTTCGAAAAATGGGTTGTCTATTAGAGTCTACTTTCGTATAATATCCACGCGTAAGTGCATATATTTATAGGGATGAAATATTTCGAAACTACTCGAAGCAAAAATGTTCACTATGATTTCAAACAATTTCTGATTCCGTTCTTGATTTTAAGCCCCTATTTGGTTTAAATAAAAATCAAATTTTATTAGATTTTGATAAAAAGTTGATAAAATGTGTAAATGAAAAGTTGTGGATCTCATAAAATATGTAATTAAAATTAATTATTAGCTATAACTTAGATTTTAATCCAACTTTTAGTTGAACCAAACATGGGCTAACTACGGAATCAATTTTAATTCCAATTTCAAATTTTTTTTGTCACAATCATGAAATTAAGCTAATTTAAATAAATTAACATGAATTCATATTTATTTGGAATGATTAATATCTTTGTCGAATAAAAGAGAGAGTACTAAAGTGAAATAATCATTCACAACCGTTTACAATATAAAATGTTTTAATCGAATTATTGGTTTTTAACTGATTTGATTTAATGTATCGAATCGTTTGATATTGAGTTATATTTAATTCAAATCGAATTAGATCACATCCACTCTACTTTACCCATATGAGCGTGTATAAAAATATGCAGAAACACGCTTTCACTCGCGCTAATAAAACCTATGGTATGTAAGGATATGTTTGAGTCACATTATTTTGGAAGAATGTATTTTGAAATAATAGATTGATAAAGAATGTGTTAAAAAAAAAAGAAAAATTATTGATACGATGAAAAATATTATTTTATTGAAAAATGTGTGGTTGAAAATGAGTATTGAAAGAATGTATTTTGATAAAATGTGTGTCAAACAGAGGCTTAATTACCTATACCTTTACAAACTTGTGCATATATAGCTACTTAATATACATCTCCAAACCATCCGGACCAGCTTTCCTGCAATTTATGTGCAGTATGCACTATGTTAAATAATTTACAAATAAACTCTTTTCTAATTCTAGCTCTCTTCTTTTTACGACAAATCCATCTTAACACTCAGTCTCTTCTCAACTATAATTTACACATTTATTGCTTAGTAGCCATATATTTAATTCCACGTGGTATTGCTATTGTTTTATACTTTAATCCTGCAGAAATCCTCTGATCAAGAAATAACTTAGGCATAGGTCCTATTAATTCAACTAGCTTTAATCCTGAGTGATATTATCACAAATTTCTCTCCCCTATGAAGTGTTAAGCATGTATAACAAAAAGTTGTTCACACATTGGTATTTTATGATCTCAATTATTTAGTGTTCACACATTGGTATTTTATGATCTCAATTATTTAGTGCCTT